CCATCAGTTGCTGTAGAAGCCTGCTGGCGGTGACCGAATCCTTCGGTTGATAGACTTCAACGAGGTGCTTCCAGGCTTCCAAGGCGGGAGCAGCGCTCTCTTTGTAGGAGCGAATGTTGAGTTGTTCCGCAGGCGTCATGTTTCGTAGCAGCACACTGTATGCCATGAGGGACTCGCTGTAGTATTGAGCCCTGGCGACGTCGGTGTTTTCCACCGGTTTAGAATAGGAGCCGTCGAAGTAATGGTAGATCTGCGCTGTTTGTAGGAGGAGCTCAAGCTCGAAACTCCATGTATAGAAATCCTTGCCGTCGAATGCGGCAGTAGTTTTGATATTTGAAACGCTGAGGAAGCGTCTTGCGCAGAATTGATGACTTCATCACTTGGACGGGGGGCTGTAGTTGTTGATTTGTCTGTGTCGAGGGAGAAGGTGTGCGCAGCGGTATCACGGCTTTTCTCAGCCGGTTGTCCAGATCGAGCTGGTTGGGAAGAGGTTCCCGCATCGCCTTTGCGCAGGTCTTGGAGTTCTTTCTCCATAGTTGAAAGTCGAGCGAATAGTTGCTCGAGAGCGGCAGTGCCGATCGTAGTTGTCGCCTCATTTGTCGCAGCCGGGTTGGAATGTCCTTCAGCCGTCATATTTGCTTGGCCTCCGGATCCTCCGGCCATCTTGGTCTTGGAGCGTGTGCCGCTCGCCAGATCTTGGTTCGGCGAATTTTACGGAAGTGTGTTTGCGGAGAATCCCTGAGTTGCTCTCATACCATGTTACAATCCCAAAAGGGACTTAGTGCAGGATCGGCTCAGGGTTGATCGCGAGTAGTCACAGCGAATAAGAGTGTAGTAGTGGTGGTGGGCCCTTGACCTCAGATCAGACTGAATGTAAATGACAGAGATAATAAAAGCATGCATACAACCGGTTTAAGTAGAAAACACAGGAATGCGAAACGACCTAGACTAGCCATGTACTCTAAGGGGTACATTCCCTTATTGCAGCGAGTTCAAACCGTGCGGCGCGGGAACCCGTTTTAAAACTGTTCCCGCTCTTTTCACTTCAAATGTTTCTGCCTGCATCGGTCTTGGTCAGGCGGTTGCTGGTGTCGCTTCGACTCTTCTGACTCCTCGACTTCGTACTCGGTAGAGTCGGCTCCTGCAGCATACAGGAATGCCTTCTCATACAACTTCATATCGTAACAAAGCAGAAATGTGCGTCTTGACAAGTGCGTGATGTGTGAACCCTGCAAGAGAATGAGGTCCTCGATCTGACACTATTGAGGTTGACATTGTTATGATTGAATGTTTTTGAAAATCGAGCTGGCGATGAACCTGTCAGTAGATCTGCACTGTCGATGCCCGATCGATCCTTGGAAGGGTTACAGGCATGTTAGCCTTGGGGGTTATGGGCGCACTGACCCGCTACTGAAACAAGCCCTTTTATCCCAGTGGTATAGTGGTTGGGATTCTGACATGGTATCAGAGCGGTCTCGGGTTCGATTCCTAGTGTATGCACATGTAGGTCGTTGCCTCTGTGCTCAGTCCTGGGCCTCCCAGTGTGGTGGGGTGTCAGTAGATCTGCACTGTGGATGCCCGATCGATCCTTGGGAGGGTTACAGGCATGTTAGCCTGGGGGATTATGGGCGCACTGTCCCGCTACTGAAACAAGCCCTTTTATCCCAATGGTCTAGTGGTTGGGATTCTGACAGAACCATGGCGGAGAGGGCAAATTGTGTGATTGTTGTGTGAGCTTGCGTGTGAATGTGATTCGTAGTTCCCCACAGTGGGTATCTGGGGGGAATGAAATTGGCGGGGGAATGCATGTCAAGTAACAATTATACTTGATAAGGATAACTATATTTAGTTGGTGCTGTTTTATTCTTTGAGCTGATCCATGAGTGCTGGTGATTTTGAACCAACCATACTCCTCAGTGCCATGAAAGTGGGGACTTCTGAGGTCGATTCCCTGAACGCCCTGACGTCTCGGAACATCATTGGTTGGGGGATGTCTCAAGAATATCTGATTGGCTGCATCGGCCACAGTAGTAGCTGGTAACCTTTCCGCTCGCAGCATATTCTCTGCATTCTGGGAACTCTCCCGAGGCGCGTTGGGAGGCCCAGCGTATCCACGGAGAGAGCCGATTCCTTGTGCAGTTGGCCAATCGCTCCCTCGAGTGGATCGTCGCAACGCCATGCCTGCCTCCTTCATTGTGACCTCGCAGGCTCGCAGCTACCTGAGTGTGCCATTTCACCAGGCACGACAACCAGATCTCCCCAACTGGCGCGCAGAACCTGGTGTCTGTTTCAGCCTCATAATCTGGCCAGTCCAGCTGATATCGATTCATTCGGTCTAGCTAACCGTGCAAACGCGCCTTTGTCTCTGGCCCTCTCGACGTCTCAGTATTTTAGTCCAGTGGCAGCAGCAGCAGCAGCAGCAGGTGCGTTGCCGGTATGGGGTTTTGGAGCAATTTCGGTCGGATCACGAGCATAAACCGTGATCACCGCGACAGGGTCAGCAGCACCAGCAGGTGCACCGAATGCAGCACTGGAAATGATACTTTCAGCACGGATGGCGGTCCCGGTGTCAGCAGCTTGCACTACAGAAAGGCTTTAGATCTCGCGAGCGTGCAGCAAAGCGTGGCGGCGTCAGGATGGGCTGAGGGGCTCAAGTGCGTGGATGCGCGCGACGGGAAAACGTGGATCGCGGAGCCCGTGCTCTCTGGCTGTGCTGCGGCCCCGGTTGACAGCATGTCGTCGTTGGGCTTGGCGGACGGCGAGGGGGCGCTGTATTCCGCCATGGGCGACTGCCAGCACGTGCAGCAGATTGACGACCTCGATCGCGCTGCTGCTGGTGCGCCTCGAATGTCCTCTACTCGCGTGTTGAGTTGGTCATACGGCTTGATGGAGAATTATACGCACAGGTGCCAGTGCCAGCTGCTCGTCTTCACGCGTCCGTTCCAGGAAAAGGAGTTCCACCTTTCACCCGCTCTTCCACCCTCTCTTTCGTCTTTCCCTTTCAGCGAGCGCGCTCGTATCTTGTGACGCTGACAGCAGCGCGCGCAGTAGGTGGCGCTTGTGGAGCCGTGGGCTTCTGGGCGGCCTACTGGGCGTTGCAGCTTTGAGAGCACGCGGGTCGCAACCCGAGTGGTGGAAGAAGGGCGGGTGCCAGAAGTGGCGACGAAGTGAGTATGAGAGTGGACCATTACTAGGGCATGTCTAGGATTGACGGGGAGGCGAGCCAGTGAGACGGACTGCGCTGTTAATTCCTCGTTGCATTCTTGCTCGTGGTCCCCGACGAGTACACTGCACGAGCGCAGCTGCAGGGAGGGTTCCCCAGTGCGTGGCCCTGGTCTCCCTCTCACTCTCTCTCTCCTTGCTTCTACCCGAATTGCGTGCGTGCGTGCCCGCGTGCGGCGATGGAGCGCAGGGGACCAGCGACCCGTGGAGAAGGCACTCAACATCATCTCCTGCGCGCCTTTCTTCCTCGTCGCCCTTAACACCCCTAGGTCTCCCCTCCTGCCCCTCTCCCTCCCCTCCGCCCCCCACCTCAACCATCTCCACACTCGCTCTTTCTTGCGCTGCGTGCTGATTCACTACTGCTTCCGACTCACTTCGTAGCTAACCAACTGGCTTCTCCCAAGCCCGCTCTGTAGCTATCTGCGCGCGCTCATCCAGCCAGCCACCCTCAACGACTCCACGTGCTCTCCACCTCATGTGTGTCGCCAGGGCGAGCGAGTGTCCCAAGGCTCGTCTGTACAGCCAGTCAGTGATGGGCATCGGTGCGGCGGCCATGGCGTACCACGCGTCATCGGGGCCCGTCTCGCGCCCCATTCTCCACTGGCTCGACTGCACCATGATTGCTCTCTCCACTCTCGTACGTCACCTCGCTGCACCGCCTCGCACCGTGCCCCTTCATGGTGCTCACACGCTTGTGTTTGTGTCCCACACATGCACTTCCAGCCTCACTTCCACAAGCACCTTTGCAAACGGCTAGATAATTCGAACTCGCTCCCAGAGGAAAATCTCACCACTGGCTTCCCTCCTCTCTCCACCCACCTCCCCATGGCACCTCTGTGTGACTCTGCTGCTTTCAAACGTCTCGCTGCAGTGCTTTTCGCGAGCAGTCTTGCCTGCGGGCGAGCATTCAGCGGCACTGTTGGCAGTGTCGACAGCTATGGTGCCGGTGCGCCCGTCCCTGGTCATGGGCCTGCACTGGAGCCTGCTCGAGGTATGCACCTCATCGTCATGCACGCCTCTGCCCCCATTCTTTGTTTGCACGCCTGTGACCACTAAAACAGCTAGCACTAAATTAGTAATTTCTGGCACATTTCCCCAAACCTTTTCCACAGGCCAATTTCTGGAGGAGGTCTAGAGGGGACCCTTCGCTGGTGCGAGTGCATTCACTGCACGCTGCCACGGCGGTGACGGCACGCGCTGTGGCATGTGGTGGCCGCTGGTGTGCTCCACACTGCAAACGTGCTGCTCACCCCTCCCACCTCTGTTTCAACCTGATGTACACTCAAATACACAAAGTCAATGTCTTTTCTAGGAAATACCTTCATTCGTTACTTGGTGTAAAATATTGCATTCAAATTCTTCATTTAGACACGCCACCATGTCTCAGAATAGAACAGCGGAATGGTGTGACTGGGAAGGAGGGGGGTTACAAAGACAACCCTGTGCACCTCAGTAGAGTGTAGCATGCATGGTGCATTACAAGAGCTGGAGCCGAGTCGAAACATAAATTAGTAGGGAGTCATTACCGTACGTTATTCCTACGAGCACACAGCACCTCAGTGCCTTTGGGAGGATACACCCCCCAGCACTACGTGGCGAGTGAAACAGAGGTTTATTTCATGGGAAAAAGGAGGCAGTGCGTGTGTGTGCAGAATAGGGGTTGGAAATGACATGTTGAGATGGTGTGAGCGAGCGAGGGAGGGCTGTGATGAAGTGGCAGTGAACCTTGTGTGCGCGTGACCAGTGAGGTGCGCGCGCGAGAGTGGGAAGCGAGGGCGCTACCAGGAGGCGCCGCGCGGGGAGTTGAAGGCGCGCAGCAGGCCCATGAGGGTGGGCGAGATGGTGGGCGGCGACAGCGCCTCATCGTCCGTGTGTCGCATCATGTCCAGCGGCCGCCTCACCGGCACAAAGATCTCCGGGGGCTCCCCGTCCCTGCTGCCACTGCCCATGCCCGACCCCTCTGCTGCCCCCGCGCCCGCCCCGGACCGGCAGGTGTCACGAGCAGGGGCGCCTGAGGACGACAGTGCTGTGCGCTGGGGGGAGGCGGGCGCTGGGGGAGGTGCAGGTGTGTGGGAGGCAGCGAGGGCAGGTGCGGGGGGGGGCAGGGGCAGGTGGAGGTCCATCTCCATGTGCACCGCCTTGTACCGCGCCTCCCCTCCCCCCCGCTGCGCCTCCGCCCTGTTCGGCAGCGGCAGTGCCTGCAGCTGCAGCAGCACGGGGTCCTGAGTGGGGGGTTGGGGCGCTGCTGGCGGTGAGGGAGCAGGCGGGCAGGCAGGCGGGGAGGAGAAGGGCGGTGCATGGTTCATCTCGTGTGAGTCGTTCTGGCGCCTTGCTGCCTTGGGTGAGTGCACTCCTGCGAGTGTGGCAGCAAAGGGCCCCCACATCATCCTGGGCGCGCCCTGCTGCTCGGTGGCCTCCTCATGCCACTTGAAGGCTTGCACATCCACTGCTGCCTGCCCTGGCAGCGTGAGGGAAGGTACGCTTGCTGACTCCCCCACACCACCCATGCTCTGCTCGCCCCTGCCTCGCTGCTCGCCCTCGCCGCCACCTCCCCCTTCTCCACCATGCTCCCCCCCACCTCCATCGCCCTCGCCCATCTCTCCCTCGCCTCCCACTCCCTCCTCCCCTGCTCCTTCAGCCCGTACCTCCCCTGCACAACCCCCCTCCTCCCCCCCTCGCCCGCTTCCAACGGAGCCCCTGTCCCCGCCCCCTGCCACCCCTGGCAAGGCGGTGGCGCCGGCTCGAGTGTGAGGGGCAGCAGCAGCGGCGTGCGGCCACAGGGAGGTGCTGGGCGGCCAGGCGGCACGCGGGGCAGAGCGAGAGGCGACGGAAGCGAGGGGTGAGATGGGCGAGGTGAGAGCGCCAAAGTGACTGCCCGCTGCCGGCACACTGCTGGGGGTGATTGCACCTTCCTCTCCACCGCCGCCACCTGCTGCTGCTGCTGCATAGCGAGGCCACGTGGTAAGAGGGGCGGCGGCAGATGCAGCAGGGCTGAAAAGCGAGGCCGCTGGCGTGAAAGGGTGCTTGGTGGCGGCAGCGGGGGAGCAGGGCGAGGGCAGGGAGGAGTGGCGGGGAGTGGCGGTCTCGCCCTGCATGGAGCAGCTGCGCTCCAACGCGCGTGCACTTGCCTCCGTGCACGCAAACGCTGCCATGCCACCATGCTCCGATGCATCTGTGGTGCTGGGAATGATGATGCCAAACCCACCAAACTCACCAGCATCGTCATCCTCATCACCCTCACCCTCGCCATCGCCATTGCCATTGAATTGCTTTTGAAACTCCTCAAAAGCGCCATTGCCATCGCCGTTGCCATCGCCGTTGCCATCGCTGCGGGTATCTGCCAGGGGGGCACGGTCCCAAGCATCTCGGACATTCGCGTGCTTGGGCTGTGCTGCTGCTGCTGCTGCTGCTGTCAATGCACCCTCACCCTCCGCTGCTGCTCCCACCCCCGCCACTTGCTTGTCACTCTCCTGGTCCGCGTGCCTCCCGTGTCCATGTGACCCTGGTTCTTGCTTGCCAGCACGCACTGCTGCCACGCTGCCTGCTCCAGCCACTGCAGCACCATCACTCCTGCCATCGCCACTCACCGCTCCAGAAGCGCCAGCAACAGCAGCAGCAGCAGCAGCAGAAGCAGAAGCAGCGCGAACAGCACCCCTGCCCCCGCGGGTGGGGTGCCATGGGCGAGCAGAGGGGGGGTCGGATGGGGCAGGCCCGCCACTGCTGCTGCTCATGAGCCCTGAGGACGAGGGCGCGGGGCGGTGGCGTGAGAGGGGGTGGTCGTGGTTGTGCGCGCCGTTGTAGAAGACACGGAACTTGCTGGGGTCGTCGTTGCACCGCTCCACCTGCCGCAGCGCCGGGCAGCGCAGCCCTCGCTTGAGGGAACACTTGTAGTACTCACTGCCACCGTGGGAACATAAGAGGGCGCATGGCGGCGAGAATGTGAGGGGCGGAAGAGATTGAGGGGTAACGACCATGGAGGAGTACGATATCATGGGAAGGAAAAAAGGGAGTTGGTGCAGCAGAGAATGTGGTGGTGCATGCAGGGTGGGGAGTGCCCCGTGTGGCATGGCTGACCGTGGGAAGTAGTTATCCACGATGGGCTTCTCCCCGTACTTGCGCCAGTGCCACCCGTCGTCCAGCGATGTCAGGATCACCGCATCCTCCGTCGCTGCTCGCGGCCTGGGGGCGTGGACGGCACAGTGGAAGGGGGGGGACAGGGGGGAGAGCCAAGGTCATGGGTGGTGAGTCAGCCAGCAGAGGGGAGGAGGTTGAGTGGCGTGGCGGGAAACCAGAGCTGCGAGCAGCATGGCAAGTGAGAAACCGCAAGCTGCCATGACACGGTGCAAGCAGGGCACGGCGCAAGCATGGCATGGCAGGGCGCACCTCTTGATGCGCTTGCTGCCATCACTGGCGTTGCCCCCCTTGGAGCCCCTCGTGCCCCCTGTGTCCACCGACATCTCTGATGCGCGCCGCCGCACCCCCACCCCTCCCCCTCCCCCTCCCCCTCCCCCTCCCCCTCCCCCTCCCCCTCCCCCTCCCCCTCCCCCTCCCCCTCCCCTGCCACCCTCGCCGCCTGCACTGCCCCCACCATACGCTGCTCCCCTGGCATCCCCATTGCTCATGCGCCCTGCCCCATCGCCCCCACGAGCCCGTGGCACGCTGGCAGCAGGCGTGACAGACGCTGAGAGTGGGCTTGGAGCGGAGCCCTCGGCGCTGCCACGCAACACCACGGCTCCAGCGCTGGGGCCCGCTGTGCTCTCCTGCCGCTCCAGAAATGCAACCCCATACTCCCACTCGCCGCCCATGCTGCCACCCACACCAGCAGGGGCAGTGGGGGCGGTGGGTGAAGCCTGGGGGGGAAGAATGGGCAGGGTGGAAGTGGGCGAGGGGGTGACATCCTTGGGCGAGGCGGGTGGGCGCACAGGGGATGCACCGCCGCCATCGCTGCCACTGCCGTCACCAGCGCTGCTGTCGCTGTCGCTACCGCTGCCAGCACCACACTGTTGCCCACTCCCTGCCCGTGCCACCCTGCCCTGCCCCTCACGCTGTGCTGCTGCCTGGGAGTCGGGCTGTGGGGATGGGCTGCACGAATGGCTCTGCTGCTGCCGCTGTGGCGTGTGTGGTGAGTTGAGGTCAGACGAGGCAGCCGGGCGAGGAGAAGGAGGGAGGTGGGCCATGCAGCCTGCGTCCTCTGCCACGCCCTGCTGCTGCCTGCTACTCCCACCCCTCACACCGTCGCCGTGCTGCTGCCCTGCGCCCCCCTCTTCTCCTGACTGCACCCCTGTCCTCCCACGCACATCCTTACCATGGCCCTCCTCTCCTCGCCCCCCACTCACCCCCTTGGCTGACTGCACACGCATGTCCCCTTCCTGCCCCATGCCCCCCGCCCCCGCAGCAGCAGCGTGGGTGGCGGCGGGGTTGCAGAGGTGGCGGGGGCGGGGGGCGCCATGGGCGGGCAGGGCGAGGTCGTGCTCCGAGGGCCACGAGGACGCCGTGCTCAGAGTGGGCGACGCCGTGCCATCCGCCACACGCATCGCCCCGCCACCTCCCGCCATTGCCGCTAGCCCTTCGCCCCCACCACCCACGTCCAGCGCCTGCAGTTCTGCCTTGGCGGCCCACCCATGGTGACCCCCCACACCCTCCGCCTGCGCGTGCCCCTGAGCGTCCCTCTGCGCGTGGCCACGGCTGCCGCCTGCAGGCTTGCCAGTGAGCCCCGCGCCCCACGGAGTGCGAGCACGCAGCCCGCTGGGGCTGGCCTGCACGTCACTGCCCACGCCGCCCACAGCAAACGCGAAGCCTGATCCCTGGCTCTGACTGCCCCCGCCTCCTGCTGCCGCCCTCGCCTCCCGCCCTGCCTCTGCACTCGTCATAGCAGCGCCGCCCTGCACCCCTTGCCCACCCTTCCATCCCGCCTGGCCCTCTGTGCCTTTTGGCTGCATGGCCGCCCCACCATTCACTTGCTCACTCGCCCACGGGCGCCTCTCTGTCATCGCCATTAGCTCTGCTGCCCCGTAAGACCCTGACGCCTGCATTGCTGCACCCCCCCCCGCCCCTCGCTCAACCTGCCCCTTACCCTGCCCCTGCCCCTGCCCCTGCCCCTGCCCCTGCCCCTGCCCCTGCAGCTGGCCATGCACACGGAACCCCGGTGCATGGGCGCGGGGCTTATTTGCCTCCCCCATAGTCCCCTGTCCCACTCCCTGCAACCCTTGCTGCTCTTCCAACCCCCCCTGCTGCTGCTGCTGCTGCTGCTGCTGCAGGTGAGTGTACAGCAGTTGTTGCAGCTGCGGAGGAAGCTGGCCTTGATTCTGCTGTTGAAGCAAGTGCAGTAACGCTTGCTCTTGCTGCTTTTGTTGTTGCTGCTGCTGCTGCAGCTGCTGTTGCTGCCGCTGTTGCTGTTCCTGCTCCAGCAGCTGCTGTTGTGACATTTGCTGCTTCTGCCCTGGCTGTGGCAATTGAATTACCTGTTGTAACTCGTGATGATGATGCATTGGAATTACCAGATTTTGCTGCTGCTGCTGCTGCTGCTGCTGCTGCTGCTGCTGCTGCTGCTGCTGCTGCTGCTGCTGCTGCTGCTGCTGCTGCTGCTGCTGCTGCTGCTGCTGCTGCTGCTGCTGCTGCTGCTGCTGCTGTTGCTGTTGCTGCTGTTGCTGTTGCTGCTGCTGCTGTTTATGCTGAGGCGACTGGGGAGTGAGTGGCGTGGAGGCGACGAGTCGTTGGCAGGCGGCGAAGCAATCCATGCCCTGGCCACAGAATCGCTCTATCTTTCTGCGCAGAATGCTGGGCGATGGATACCACATGCGACAAGAAAACCATGAGCGGGAATAGTGAGGGAACAGTAACGAGGATGAGGAACATATTGGGGAAAACGAGGGCCACAGAGGGGTGCTGAAAGCGCACATACAAGTGAGGACATGCGTTATTTCCCATTCCCTCTCCATCCCCTCCCTCCCTGCCTCTCGCTTTCGCTCATGCATCGCCCAGTTGCTAACCACTCCCGCATTGCTGGGCGACGGCCAGTCCCCCCACCCCATGGCAACGCGTGCACGTACATCACCAGCTCTTTGCTCTCCTCCGAGTCGCCGCTATTGCCTCCCGTGGCTGCGCCGCCCGGTGCGCGCCAGTGCTGCGTGGACGCGAGTTCAACGCACAGCAGGTCCACGTGCAGCCTCAGCCGCTCCGACAGCTGCACTGCCGCTGCCGCCGCCGCCCGCAGCGCCTCCAGCCCCTCTTCCCCTTCCGCCTCCCCCCCGCCCTGCGCCTGCCCTTGCAAGCGTTGCGCTGCCTCTGGCGCCAGGGCTTGAGTGCGCGGGTCCAATGAGCCGCCTGCCATCGCCCTGCCCTCTGCCCCTGCTTCCCCTCCCCTCACACCCCGTGCCTCCCCGGAGCTCGCGCCACCAATGCGCCCCAGCCACGCGCGCGCGTTGTCCCCCAACCCGACCATCCCCGCGCCCGCTGCGCCACGACTGCTGTTCACACAGCTGCTGGCGCCCACCACGCCCGCCGCTGCTGGGCTTTTCCCCCTCCGCGCACCTCCGTCAAGCCCGCGCTCTCCCTCCCCTAATCCGTCCTTCCCCGGGCCAAACCCTGTGCCAGACGCAACGCCAGGACTGCTGGATGACCGGGGGTGCCCTCTCACTCCATTGCACGCGTTACCCCCCCACATCGCGCGCTCAACCGGCTCCGCTTCCCTGGAGTTGCCGCCCGCCACCTCCAAGCCCCTCTCGTCTGCGCCCCTCCCTAAAACTCCAAGCACGTCCTTCCCATTCAAGTCCGCTCCTCTCCTCACTCCGCCGCTCACCTGCCCGCCCAACACGCTCTCCGCGCCGGCGGGACCTGCTGCACCGCCACTCTGCGCAACGACGGGCGCGGGGCTCCACACACGCCCCGCCGTCCACTGCCCTAGCAGGTCCGCCAATCGACTGCTGCCGCCCAGCCATGTGCCGCTCGCCGTGCGCAGCGGGCCTGCTGTGTCGGCGGCGGGAAGGGATTCTGGCAACACCCCCGCGCGGGACAGCGGCGCCCAGCCCGCCGCACCCGCGAAGCTGGACGATGCAGCGCCAGCGGCGGCGGCGGCACTGTCGGAGTTGGAAGAGAGGTGCGACGAGAGGAGAGCCGCGGTGCCCGGGTCCTGCTGAACAACCGCACCCTCCATGGACAGCGGCGCTTGCTGCTGCTGCTGCTGCGGCTGCTGCTGTTGTGATGAGAGCAACTGGACGAGGCCGAGAAGCTCGTCCATCGAAGCCCCTCCAGCGTGCGGAAACATGCCCTTAGGACACAGTGTGTGCTAAGTGGCGAACCGTTAGGCGAGCGTGTGATAAGCCAGTCTTGCGCGATAAATTAACCGTCTGGATAGGCAAGTGGTAGGTGTGATCGGCGACGTGTGTGTGACTGGCGAGTGGTCTGATTGGCGTGCAGTGCGTGGGTAGCAAGTGTGTGAGTATGGGACGCGGACTTGATTAGCAGGTAAGCAGTGGGTTGTCATTGTCAATTACGCAGTCGATTGGCAGGTAACTTATGGACAGTCTTCTGACCTCCCCTACCCTCATCGTTGGAGCGAGGCTCGCGGAATCGTGTGATGTGGTTGATTGGTTCACTCGCACCGCAACAGTTGCTTCGGTGAGCCCCCCACCCATTCGCTCGTGTCCCACAGGTAGTTGACTTTTCCTCCACACCACTCATTTTTGTGGACGTCACACACTTTTAGGGTTCTTACGATGGTAATGCTGCAAATCTGGGTAATGCTAAATACTTTCTTTGCTAGAAACGGTTCCTTTTGGATGCTACCCTGATAAAATTCAGTTTCTTCCAACTGTTCCGTCCCGAGTGCTTCATCTACACAGCATGTGTTGTGTTCAGCTGTACCTATATTTTACGCACTAGAAGGTTTCCACGGGCGACAGCGTATCGCTATTGATCTGCGCGCTCACCTCGAAACCCTGATATTGAAGGGTGGCCAAAAGGAGAGCCCTGGTTCGAAAATGTCAAACACAATACAGTAGCGTTGCATCCATGAGCTGGTGTACTGTACAGTGCGAACTCACCCGCAGCACGTCACCAATAGTGCCCGCTAGACAAACTGTTTTCCAGTCACACTGTCGTTACCAGCACAACAGTTCTCCCCGCACAATCACTTCGGCATTGAGAGCCCCTATCCCCCATATAGTCCACATCGCTTGGTATCATCTTTCGTGATGGGAACAGACTTTTCTCGATCAATCTTACATTGCCCTGCATGTTTGTTTGTATTGCCATGTTCGTACTAAGAAAATGTAGACAGTGAACAAGTCTACCGGTCTCTTCTTTCACCCTCATCACATGTCTGCATACCATGACCGTGACCACATAAGATTCACATCATCAACTCTGAACGAATGTCAATACCATGGTGCATATAGGTACAAGTAGTAAGACAAACTACGGCATGCAGTCCCGCATAATACAATCGATGTCACTAATAGCATAAAGGGTTTACTCACGGTGACATCAGTACATTATAGAGTATGTCTGACCATGTATCTGGTAGTCCAGGGTTACACCAGTGGGAGCAGTCGGTACCAGATGCGCCAGTGTAATTTTGCAAATGGGCATCTGGCCGCATGAGGCTAAGCCGTGTCACGTCCATAATCCTAAAGGTGGCTCTTTCATCTGCCTTCATTGGTGGTTTCACCACTTGTTGAAACACGCCCAGCTGTGTGGCCACTGCATCCAGTGCTTCTGTGCCTCTCTCTGCAACAGCCACCTCTGCATCTGTGAACGGCCTCTGTGCTCCTTTGCAGCTCTTCTTTGGATCGCCACCATAGGCTTCCTCGTAATGGTATGGCGAGTATGAGAGAATGACAGGCACACCACGGTAGCCAGAGCTGATGATGAAGTCCCGCACTGTGGAAAGAGCAACGCTCATGGCCTGGAATGGACTCATGTCACTCTGAAACACTCCCTTCATGTAAAACTGCCGCAGCTTAGGGGGGGCCTGTTGGGGGGCAGGTATAGACATGCAAGGGTCAGCAAATAGCAGAAGGGGTGGCAGCGTGCGAGCAAGCAGAGAGGAGAAGCACGGGGGTCGCACATTTACAAACCAGTGGCCAGTGGTGAAGATGAAGACATCCAGGAAGCGAAGCACGGATGCCCAAACCTCCTTGGGCTTGTCCAGGTGAATTTTCCAGGTGCCACTGCTCTTGGCAGCACCCTGCAGGGCGGACAGGTAGGGCCACGTTGGAGGGACTCAAGTCAGACGAGTGCTGCATGACACGAGTGCAGCGAATCGTCGCATGAGTAGCATGCATGGTTGTTGCGTGTGCATGGGCTGACCATGGGCGTGGCGTCAACTAGGAAGACAGCAGAGAGCGAGAGGACGGTGATGTTGTACGCCGGCACCTTGTACCCGCGCACATCCTGCCCGTACCACGTGGACGTGAAGTCCTGCACACACATGGCAGGCGAGGGGCCGGCACCATGGAAACAAGTGATGACGTGACGACATGTGCGTGTGTGAGGGGTCGACGGGGAGAGAGATGAGAGTAAGAGACAAACGGAAGAAACGGAGGGAAAGAGAGAGAGGGAGCGAGAGGGAGATAGATAGAGAGAGAGAGAGAGAGAGGGAGGGAGGCAGGGAGGGTGGGAGGGAGGGGGAGAGAGAGAGAGAGAGAGAGAGAGAGAGAGAGAGAGAGAGAGAGAGAGAGAGAGAGAGAGTGAGAGAGAGAGAGAGATCCTCCATTTGAAAGAAAGGCAAGGTTACCTCTCAAAACAATGTCATTGCGAGGTACCTTGGTGGTGGTGAAGGAGGCGATAATGCAGCGGATGGAGCTACCAAAGTTGGAGGAGAACGAGTCGCCTGAAATGCCAAGCACCTTGTTTCTGAAGCGGCTTGCAAATGCAGCTGGGTCGAACCTGCACAGGGGTGCGAATTTCACTGTTGCGAGATGACCAGACCCACCATTGCCTAAGAAACACACTGTGGACTTCCACAGAGCAATACGGAGAAAGTAGACGCAGCAAGCTGAAAGGGCGAGAGAACAGAGTGGCGCCATGGAGTGAGAGGCGGACAGCTCACCTTGTCAAGTCGCAGTCGTCGGGCTGCCACTGCCAGTTGAGGTAAGCGGAGTCGGGGCGCTTGTTCTTCTGGCAGTTCTCGTACGCCCGCAGCGTTGTGCATGTGAATCCCGTGTACGGAGGTGGTTCATGTGACGGCACCCATCTGCCCAGGGCATGTGGCATGGATTTTGTTATGAGATGTGGCACGGAACATGCCTTGTGGCATGGCATGTGGCATGGCATGGCATGCACGCACGAGGTGGGTATATGAGGTGCGCACATGTCCGTCATGAAGGGCCTATGAAATGCCGTGCGCCTGCCATGCCTCCACGTGCTGCCTAACCACAACTACCCGCAATCGTCACACAGCTTGCCGCAAGCAGCATGCCTTGCTTCTTTCTAACCATGTAGCATGGGGGTGACAGCTGCATGAGGCAACGTGCAGGTAGTACGCACCTTCCTCTGGCCACATTGCACCCTCCCACGGATGCGGACGCCGCTTCAGCCGTGCCGCCGCCGCCGCCGCTCGTCACTCCGCCGGTTTTTCCACCTGCGGTTTTTTCGCCGTTGATTCCGCTGCTCGCCCCGCCTAAGATCCCGCCACCCTTTACCGTGCCGCTGCTCGTATTGTTACTCGCCTTGCTCGAACCGCTGTTCGTACTGTTACCGCCAAACGTACCATTGCTACTGGCCTTGTTCGTACCGCTTTTTGTACTGTTACCGCTAAACGTATCGTTGCTACTGACCTTGTTCGAACCGCTGTTCGTACTGTTACCGCTATATGTACCGTTGCTACTGGCCTTGTTCGTACCGCTGTTTGTACTGTTACGGTTTAACGTACCGTTGCTACTGGCCTTGTTCGTACTGCCGCTCGTACTGTTACCATTGCTGGGTCTGTTACCAGCATTATTCGTACCGCTGCTTGTATCGTTTCTGGTCATACTCGTACCACTGCTCCCACCGCTACTGGTTGTTGCCGTACTACTGCTCGTACTGTTACTGGCATTTGTACTAGTACTCGCATTTACCTTACCGCTGGCCTTTTCGTTACCGCTGGTTGTATTGCTACTGGGCTTCACGGTACCGCTGCTCGTACTGTTACTGGCCCTGCTCGTACCGCTGCTCGTACTGTTACCCGCCTTTACCGTACCGCTTCTCGTACTGTTACCGGTTTGTATCGTATCGCTGCTCGTGCTGTTTCTGGGCTTGCTCGTACCGCTGCCCGTACTGTTACCCGCCTTTACCGTACCGCTGTTCGTACCGCTACCCGCCTTCGCCGTACCGCTGCTCGTAGTGTCACTGGTTTTTACCGTGCCGCTGCTCGTACCGTTACTAGGCTTGCTCTTATCACTGCCCGTACTGTTACCCGCTTTTACCGTGTCGCTGCTCGTACTGTTACCGGTTTGTACCGTACCGCTGCTCGTGCTGTTACTGGCCTTGTTCGTACCGCTGCTCGTAGAGTTCCCTGCCTTCACCGTACCGCTGCTCGTATTGATAGTGGGCTTGCTCGTACCGCTACTCGTACTGTTACTGGGCTTGCTCGCACCACTGCTGGTACTGCTACTGTTATTGCCGTTGCCCGTATTGCTTGTCGTACTGCTGCTGGATCTACCTGTAGCAGTGACCGTGCTACCACGAGCGTTGCCAGGTGCCCTGCTCTCGCCGTCGCTCTCTGTCTCTGACGCACTGCTTGACTTGCCGCCGTTGCTGCTCGTAACACTGCCACTCGTGCTTCCGTGAATGCTACTGTCTAAACTTGTACTGTTTCTGCTTGTGCTGCGCGTACTCGAGGCCACGGCAGGACTGTTGTCTACGCGCGTATCGCCTCCCAGGAAGCTTGTATTTCCCGTCGTGCTGTTGCTGCCCGGCACGTCGAGCGAGCTTGCAGCCGTCGACGCGTATGCTCGAGCGCTCGGCATCGCACTGGGTGCCACACCCGCCGCGGCGCTCTCACCGTCCAGCAGGCAAGGGTCCCGCGTTTTCATGGGAACTCCGACGACCGACGAGCTTGAACTCGCAATGGAGAGTGCCACCAAGAGCCTTATAAGATTATTAGTAGACATCGTCCTTCGTGAGGATATTCTGAATGAACTTCAGCCTAGGTGAATTTCTGTTTTGCGATGAACAATAAGCAGGTTGGGGGAGGGCATTTTTCAGCCTTCAGGGCGCGTCCACTCCCTCAATCAACCAGACGCCTTCAGGCATAATTCAGCTTCAGAAGGCACCTTGGCGCTTCAACATTCGCTGCCTGCCTGCAATGTGCTGTCGTGTGTGGTGGAGGCGCCTGACACTGCCCAGGTTTAAAATTTCGCGCCTTTTGGTGTCCGTCCGCAAACAACGGAGCTGACAACCACGGCGGGATTGGAAGTCCAAGATTATGGGGTCTGAAAAAAACGGACGTTTTTATGTGACTAAATAAGCGTAACTATGTGTGACAATGTGGAGGTCCATCAGGTTTGCTTAGCAATCTTATACAGTCTGTTTCACCATTTTGATAAACATAATATATTTATACAAAACGTAGCTAGACATACGAGGGCGAAAAGATGGAGCTAGACATAAGAACGAAAGAGAGCAAAATGGTGGGGTGATAAAGGTAGCGATGAAGGTCCCTCGAAAGCGGAAAGTTAAAAAGTAACTGTTCCTCCATATCTGAAACACACGTCCTTCATGGGCATTGCTGATGGAGACCCTATACTCTACCCTACACATGTTACCAAATTTCAGCCCAAATTAGTGGGCTTGCTCCAAGCATTACACCTGAGCCGCCCTGCCATTCGTGGAGCCACAGGCCCTCCTGTTTCTGATGTTACCACAAAAAAAAAACCCCTGCAAGCAAACTGTTCTTTATGTTACCATGCTGCACAGATTGGACGTTTTGTACAAATAAGTCGTCTCATATAACATCATCGTCCTTTTCTCCCGGTTCCCCTAAAAACCCCATAATGGACAGCAAAGGAGAGACATTACACGGATTAACTAAGCATGCGAAAGGAAGGTCTGGCAGTGGCTATCCACGGAATAATAGACTTTTCTACAAGACAATTACCGCACGGCGCTTCCGCCGCCAAGGGAGCGGCACAGCGCTGCCGTGGCGGAAGAAAGGTATACGGAATCGCCGTCGCGCGGGGGAGTGGAGACTCAGGAAACGCTCAGCGTCGCCCCTCTCCTCGGTCTGCTGCCACCGCCGCCAGCCGCCGTCGTCCACCGCCGTCGCCGTGGCCTCCCCTGCCCCGTCGCGAATAGCACTCATGCGCGGGTGCGGAAAACGACACAACGCCGCTCCTCGGGGTAGTCCGTACTGTTGTCAGCCTTATTTAAGTTGATGGGGCCCTGGGCACCTGGCACCTGGGCGTGCGTGATGGGCAATAAGATGCACCTGTCGTTAAACCAGTCGATGCCGTGATGCCACTGCGACTGCGGTTTCCAGTTTCGCACGTACACGTGAGCGATCGCATCCTCGCGCTGATTCAGGTAGAACTGGTCGCCGGGATGCTCGTCGGGGGGCAGGCGTTGGGGGCACTGCAGGTACGTGCCATTGGTGGAGTCGGCGGCAATCAGGCCGTTGGTCTTGTAGTCGCGGATGCCGGGCGCAAAGTAGTCCATGCTGCCCACCCAATGCACCTGCTCGCGAGTGATGGTGAGCACCGCGTGATCCCCCTTGATGTCGTCTTTGATGTGGAACGACGGCACTGAATTCTGAAAGCCATCGAAGTAGAAATCGCAGTAGGCGGACGGATGCGTAGGACAGCACATAGGAATAGCGTAATTAGGGGAGCTGGGGTAGCGCTCGAAGAGACGGAACGTGTCATAAGGGCTCTGCGACACCGTTACAGTTGCACAAAGCCCTACGAGAATAGCCAGTAACAGGGCGTTCCGCATAGTTAGATTGTCAGGAACAGGTGAACAGGTTACAAGAACGTGAACGGAATAGGTTGAAGCCCGAGAACGTATGAAGCCCAAGGTTGTCAAAATTGGATTAGGCAGTGGCAAGCTTCTGACGTATAGCAAGGGGGAGCCAAAGATAACGGAACCAGCAAGAGTGAGTTGGGAGTGTTTGTGAAGGTGGGCTGGGAATGTCTCTTCGTGCCCTGACGGGACTGCTTGCGCGCCACGACACAACCAACGCCTCAGAGGGACCGCAGGGCCTCTCGGGCCTTGACCGTGATGGCTTGGTTCGGTTCGGGAAGGGCTGTTTGACAAACCCTTGCCACCAAAACCCAAAAACAAAAAAGCGAAGCGCTAGACACTCGCGCGGTTTGGCTAGAGAGCCTTCGCGAGCGAGACAGTAGTGAAGTTGCGTATAAGGAAGTTGCAAGTTCCGAACCAACCTCAGCTGTCCGATATGGGACCGACCGATTTGCAGCTTTCGGATTCTGGGCACGTGTACCCACAACTGTCGAACCGCAAACTTGCAGCCAAACGAAGCGCTTAACTGTAGATCTCACGCTTAGGGGGGAAATTTTTTCGATATTTGGTTCTCCAGGCCTAACCTCAATGCAGGGTTCATTCTCTGGTCATTTTCTGCAAAATCGTTATTCTGGATAGTACAAATGCAGTAGCATTTGTTTCACTCTTAGCTTGTTAAAATTGAAGTTGTGCTATGAATTATACAAAACGTAAGAAAAATCAACTCATTGGCTTACTCTGCATCCCGTACAGCCTCAAGTTTTGGAATGACAGGCACGACAAGATTTTCTATATTTCCATGCTACATTGCTTCACCTTCAGACTTCTCACGACCAACCCGGGGGGATTTCTCAAAGGTCGTAAGTTGTGATAACTAGGAATGCAGTAATACAAGTGTGAGTGTCAAGTAGAGTGTTATACTCTATACTAGATGCCTCATAGTGGCCTACAAATATAGGCTAAGTGAGGGGCAGCAAAACGAGCAGGAGAGAGACAAGGTCACAAGATAAGTCAACAAAAGCAACAAGGCAAACGACCACAAGGGTGGTACGACTAGGCTGCCTCTGAGACAACGACCACAAGGCCAGTTCAAAAGTCTATAAATATATATATATAGCAAAACAAGCAAAGGCAAGCCTACAACAAACAAGGGCCTGTCTGAACAAGGCCAAGCTATAAACAGAACCTGTGGTGGTCACCAGGCGGGAGGGCCTTGGTGAAGATGTTTGCAGTGTTGGCCGCTGAGGCCACAAGGCCACGTCGCTGCAGCTCCCGCAGAAGGAAGTACCGCAAATCGATGTGCTTCACTCTGCTCTACAGTCGAGACTCTCAACACAGGAGAATCATGGCCTTGTTGTCAGTGAACAAGGTCGGTGCAGAGCTATGCCGCTCACCTAGGTCAGTGAGTAAGAAGGTCAACCGGCGGAGCTCCTGAGCAGCTATGGCACCGGCGTAGATCTCGGCCTCAGCACTGGAATGCACCACAGACGACGACTGATTAGACCTCCACGACACAGCTCCAGAGCCCAAGCTGACTTGGAGGTCTCCAAGTCGTCGGCGTACGGCGAGTCGCAGTATTCAGTAAGTCGCACTGGCTCTGTCCCTCCAAGCACAAGCCCCATGCCTGATGTAGTTGCCAGGTACTTTGCTGCCCTGGCAGCAGTCGCCCAGTGAACAAGACAGTATTTCCCAGCAACAAAGCGAGCTAGGACGCTGAGATGATAAGTGAGGTCAGGACGAGTACATGTCATCAGGTACATGAGGCAACCCACAAGCTCTGTATAGGGACCACTAGACTCAAAGGGCTCGTCAAGAGAGGTGCGGTCAATATGTGGTCAATGGCAAGAGGAGTGGGCAGTGTGGTGGAGAACTGAAGCTCGAACCGCTGAAGGACCTGCTGCACCATCTGTGGCTGAGTCAGTGAGACGGTGCGAGCGGCTCTGTCCCTGCGATCTGCAAGCCAAGGTAGGGGCGCAGTTCACCAAGGTCAGTGCATGTGTGCCTCTTATGCAGTTTGGACTTCACGACAGCCAGTTCTGCCCTGTTTGCTGTGGCGAAAACCAAGTCGTCGACGTAGACGAGAACGAAGAAGGGACCACCCCCCTCCCTCTGATTCCATCCCCCTCTCCCTAAATCCATCCCCCTCTCCCTGATTTCCACCCCCCTCGCCCTGATTCCATCCCCGTCTCCCTGTTCCCTTCCCCCTCGACCTGATTCCATCCCCCTCTCCCTCTTCCCATCCCCCTCTCGTTGATTCCATCCCCCTCTCCCTGATTCCATCCCCCTATCCCTGATTCCATCCCCCTCTCCCTGATTCTACCCCCCTCTCCCTGATTCCACCCCCCTCTCCCTGATTCCATCCCCCTCTCCCTCATTCCATCCCCCTCTCTGATTCCATCCCCCTCTCCCTGATTCCACCCCCCTCTCCCTGATTCCATCCCCCTCTCCCTGATTCCATCCCCCTCTCCCTAATTCCATCCTCCTCTCTCTAAATTCAATCCCCCTCTCCCTGATTCCATCCCCCTCTCCTTGATTCCATCCCCCTCTCCCTCATTCCATCCCCCTCCCCCTGATTCCATCCCCCTCTCCCTGATTCCATCCCCCTCTCCCTGATTTCTATCCCCCCTCTCCCGTATTCCATCCCCCTCTCCCTGATTCCATCCCCCTCTCCCTGAATCCATCCACCTCTCCTTGATTCCTTTTCCAATAACATTCAGGTCCTTCGTGCGCACAGAAAAGTTCGGCGCCAGCGATGATGGCTGTTTCTGCCGATAAATGCGAAGGAAGCGCATGGATCCCTATAGGCGTAGGGAAAAGCATCGAAGGACATGAATGTTATCGCATATTAGGGTGGCCCATGTTAAAATACACATACCATGACGATTTCGGCTTGGTTCGTGCGCACAGAAAAGTTCGGCGCCCGTGATGACGGCAGTGTCTGCAGACGAATGCGAAGGAGCGAATGGATCCCTATAGGCATAGGGAAAAGCATCGAACGACCTGAATGTTATTGCATATTAGGTTGGCCCATGTTAAAAAAGACATACCAGAGCAATTTCGGCTCGGTTCGTGCGCACAGAAAAGTTCAGCGCCCGCGATAACGGCTGTTTCTGCTGACAAATGCGAAGGAAGCACATAGATCCCTATAGGCGTAGAAAAAGCATCGAACGACATGAATGTTATCGCATATTAGGGTGGCCCATGTTAAAATACACCTACCATGGCAATTTCGGCTTGGTTCGTGTGCATAGGGAACCTTATCGAACGACCTGGGTGTTATTGCATATAAGGTTGGCCCATGTTCAGATTACACATACCAGAGCAATTTCGGCTTGGTTCGTGCGCACAAAAAAGTTCGGCGCCCGAGATGACGGCTGTTTCTGCTGACAAATGCGAAGGAAGCACATAGATCCCTATAGGCGTAGGGAAAAGCATCGAACGACATGAATGTTATTGCATATTCGGGTGGCCCATGTTCAAATACACCTACCAGAGCAATTCCAATTTGGTTCGTGCGCACAGAAAAGTTCGGCGCCGGCGATGACGGCAGTGTCTGCCGACGAATGCTAAAGGACCAACAGGCAGTTGGTCCAACCGGTCCAATGGACCAACAGGCCTGTTGGTCCAAACTGTCAGAATGTTATAATTGTCTAGCCTGCAGTGGGGTACTCCATAGTGAGTACAGCCCAATTAGGGTTTGCTATATGTATCCAACTGCTTGCTAGTGAAACCCCTCCTTTCTTCATTTCTCGTTCATTCTTGTTTCTACTGCTAGTTCTGACATGGTATCAGAGCAGGTCGACCCCCTTGGGTCGATCCTGTGGGTGGGCCCACCACCTAACTGCTTCCGCTGCTCTACTGCTGTCGCGCGCCCCGGGCGCGTGACCCTTTCTTCCTGCCGCGCGCCCGGAGCGCGCGGCGTTTTTCATCCCGCCGTGCGCTCGGGGCGCGCGACGGTTTTCTGCCCGCCGTGCGCCCCGAGGCGCGCGGCGGTTTTCTGCTCCGTCGATCCGCGCGTCGCCCCCCGTCGCCCGTCGCAGCGCCCCCGGGGACCCGCGCGTCGCCCCCCGTCGCCCGTAGCGGCCCGCGCGACCTGCGCCAGGCCCGCGCGCGGCCCGTACAGCCCGCGCGCGGCCCGTACAGCCTGCGCCAGGCCCGCGCGCGGCCCGTACGGCCTGCGCCAGACTCGCGCGCGGCTCGTACGGGCTGCGCCAGGCCCGCGCGCGGCCCGCGCGCGGCCCGTACGGCATGCGCCAGGCCCGCGCGCGGCCCGTACGGGCTGCGCCAGGCCCGCGCGCGGCTCGGGCCGCCCCCGCGCGGTTCGTCCGGCCTTCGCCAGGCCCGTGGGCGGCCCGTACCGTTTGCCCCTGAGCCGCGCGCCGTCCCTCGAGCTTCTGACCGCGTTCCCCACCCCCTCTGCTACCCGTGCTCCTGTATTAGGGTTTGGGGGTGGAGCGTATGGGGGTGGCGAGTGTGTACCTCACTTGCTCCTCCTCCTCCCCTTCCGTCTCCCACTGCTGCAGCTGCCGCTGAGGGGGGTGGAGGTGTGGGAGCCGAGGGTTTAGGGTTTAAGGGGTGATGGGGGAGTGGAGCTAGGGGTGCAGCAGGGGGTGTGCGTAAGGGGGCGTGGGACTGTTGGGGGAGGTTGCGCGGAGGTAGCCGTCGTGTCGCCAGCAGCGCCAGTAGTCCGGAGCCCTTGCTCTCGGTAGCCCAGCGAGCCTGCTGCGCCAGTCGCCCGTGGGTCCGTAGCTCCTGCCGCTCGTCGTAGCCGCGGAGTCTGTTACTCCAGTATTCCGGGGCCCTTGCTCCGGTAGCCACTGTGCCAGCCGCTCCTGTCGCCCGTGTGT